GACGCCCATACATGTAAGTGCTATGATTCTTTTATATTGACATGGAATTCGTGTCCGGCGCCACCGAGCTATGATCCGCTTAGCCGTCCTTCCGGGCTGCCCGGGGATCGGTTTTTCCCCGGCACAACCCGTTTTTTCCTCCGGTCTCCTTCCTCGGAAAAAGGTTGATCGTGGTTTAGCTAGCATATATTTCCCGCGGGTGTCCCTGCGGTGCGGTATTATGCTAAGCTAAGGCGCCGGACATCCTCCTGCCTCCACGGAGTCCCCGTTTTTCATAGCCGCTACTAACTCACTCGTTACACGGATGTGTAGCTAGTAGTTAAGGCATTAGACATCGTTTCCAGACAGGACTGGACTGGAAGCTTTTTTTTTTTTTCCCAGATATTTCGGACCATGCGCTTCTCATCTCGGCATGGTCTGAGCTACCCTCTCCGGGGACGGGAGGCCCGGGCTAGCGGTTTTTCCTGCCGGAGATCACGGCAGCAAACTAGCTAAGCTGGTTAGCCACCTAGCTAAGCTAAGCAGCGCGCTAGGCTCAGCCTCTTTGCGCCGAACTGCACCCCGCTTCTCAGTGGAGTAGCTGGAGTCAGGGTGCTGCCGCTTGGTGTAACTTCTAGCCACGGACGTGCTATGTAGCTTGACCAGGGCAGTTGCAGACTGCTGCTAGCTGGATTGTAACACATGATGTGTTGGCTGCTATTAGCTCGCTCGCAACACGGAGGTGTTAGCTAGCTGGCTTAAGGCAATTTTGTGGTCGGTGCTCCCAGCCAGGACTGGACTGGGAGCTCATCCAGACCGTTTAGCCAAGACGGGTTTTTGCCCCTAGCATGGAGATGCTAGCTACAATGCTAGGAGTTGCTTACTCCAAGCTGAAAGCTCCGGTCTTGTTCTACGCGGACGTGACAAAGTGGAGGGGGTGACCGTCTTCGGCTCTTGCCAGTCCCAGTACTGGAATCTTCATCCTCTATGGTCTTCGTCACTGAGGCGGAGCGGTCCGCTGGACGGCGACCATGTGTTCAGGAAGGCGATTGGTTCACGTCAATTGACCTGAAAGACGCTTGTTTTCAGGTCCCGGTCATCCTGGCACACAGAAAATACCTGCATTTCTCTTTACAGCAGACTCAGTATCAGTACAACCGTCTGCCTTTCGGTTACGCACTGGCACCACGCACCTTCTCAAAATGCGTAGAGACAGCACTGCAGCCTCTGCGCTCAGCGGGAATGAGAATCCTGTTTTATCTGGATGACTTGCTCCTGCTGGCTCCATCCTGACAGGAAGCAGCATCACAGATGGAGAAACTGTCAGCACACCTAAAGATGCTGGGTTTTTCCCATAAACTGGAAAAAGAGTTCTCTCATTCCGGCCCAATCCATCACATATCTGGGTGTGGATCTGAACTCAGTCACCATGACAGCTCATCTGTCTCTAACCAGAAAAGAGACTCTGCTGTCATTGTTAGTGCATGTCAGACCCCGCAGGTCAGTGACAGCTCTAACCATCATGCGTCTCTTGGGCATGATGTCAGCAGCCCACGTGGTGGTTCCACTTGGGCTGCTACACACGAGACGCTTACAGCGGTGGTTCTCTTGGCTGCAGATCGATCCGATACGCCACAAGCGTAGGATCGTATTGATCCCCTCCTCAGTGGAGGCGGATCTGAGCCACTGGAGGAAGCCGCACACACTGTCAGCAGGAGTCACTCTGAGCAGAGCGACACATCACGTGCCGGTCTTCACAGACGCGTCACTGTCAGGGTCGGGGGGGAAATGCTTGTCCCAGACTGTGGGAGGCCACTGGCCTGCCCACACTGTCCCCCACATAAATTTTCTGGAACTTCTGACTGTGTGGAAAGTGCTTGTGCATTTCATACACCTGGTCCAGGACCAGCATGTTCTGGTCCACACGGACAACAAAGTGGCAGCAGCTTACATAAACCGCCAGGGAGGGGTACGCTCCTGGCAGCTGCTGGACACAGCCAGAGAGCTGCTCCTCTGGGCACACACCCACTTGCACTCAATCCGAGCGGTCTACATTCCTGGTGTGCTGAACAGAGGGGCAGACATCATGTCCAGAGGGGGTCCCCAGGATGGGGACTGGGCCTTGCACATGGCCATAAGTACGCAAATCTGGGACAGATTCGGTAAGGTGGAAGTGGACCTGTTCGCCAGCAGAGAAAACGCACAGTGCAACCTCTGGTTCTCCCTGAGCTCACGGGACAACCCTCCTCTGGGAGTGGACGGCTTTGCGCACCATCCCTGGCCGGACAGGCTGCTTTATGCCTTCCCTCCTGTCCCTCTGATCCCACGACTACTGGACCGGATCAGAGCAGATCGCCGGCGGGTTATTTTGATCGCTCCCGAGCGCACGGGAGCGCACTGGTTCCCGGTCCTCCAGTCATTACTGTCGGGCCTCCCGCTCCAGCTCCCCTGGCAGGAGGACGCTCTCCTGCAGGCGGGAGGAGCGATCAGGAGCTTCCCGAGACTGGGCCGGCCCCTTTGGGCCTGGCAGCTGAGCGGGAACGCTTAATAGACCTGGGTCTATCTGCTGATGTGGTGCGCACCACCCAGGATGCGTGCGCAACATCCACAGTCTCTTCCTACACAGCTAAGTGGTCATCTTTTTCAGCGCTGGTGTGTAGAAAAACTGCATACCCAGTTTTCCTGCTCTTTGTCCTGCATTCGTCCTTCCTACAGATGTTAATGGACAGAGGTTTAGCCTTCAGCACCGTTAAGACGTATGCTGCGGAAATTTCCTCCTGTCACGAGGGTTTTTGGTGACAGGACGGTTTTTACTCATCTGTTGGTAAAACGGTTCTTAAAGGGAGTGCGCAGGCGCAGACCTGTCACGCGCACACTCGTACCACAGTGGGTTTTAACACTGGTACTACGTGCTTTAACTAAAGCTCCTTTTGAGCCTTTGGATCAGGTCTCATTAAAGTTTTTGTCTCAAAAA